CATGGGGTTAGCACCATGGGGTTAGCACCATGGGGTTAGCATCATGGGGTTAGCACCATGGGGTTAGCATCATGGTGGTAGCACCATGGGGTTAGCATCATGGGGTTAGCTTCAAGTTTGTCAGCTGTATCCATGATGCGAATCTGTTCCTGGTTCTTTGAGCTATTGTCGCCTATCTGTCATCTCAAATCAGTCGGTCTGTTCTCCTCTGATCTCTGACATTAACAAGACTTCATCTTTTTGGTACCATTCTCTCTTTAAACCCTCGATGTGATTGTGCGTTATAATCCCAGTAGATCAGCAGTTTGTGAAATGCTCAGACAAACCCGTAAGGAACCAACAAATGCACAGTTAGTTAAATCTTCATCATCATCATTCTGATGCTGTTTGAACTTCAGCAAGTCATCTTCACCACGTCAACATGTCTGCGTGGCTGGGGGTGTATGTATACTTTTAATCAAAGTTTTAATTCTGTTTCAGATAATTGTATTTCAATATAATAAATGAATTCAAGAGACTACTTTATGTTGGGGGGCAAATGCTAAACCAGTTCCTCCTGTTCACTGCTCAGTCCCCAGTGGAGCTCTGCTGCTCACACCTCCCAGTAAAAACATTAGAAAGATTAAATGAGTGAACAGACATTCTGATATCTTTATGAGCTTCTATACAAACGCAGTTTGGGTTTTATAATTTAAAGATTTTAATCACACAATATTCAACTTGACCATGTCACACATTCTAACCTTAGTGTTGCAAAACTTTCTCCACAAACATACTTTTTCTACAGTTTATACATCGAAACGTGCACATTTAGTCTAATTATGACACGAGGAGGTCCTACATGAAGTTGATGGATGTTGGACGTTCAGCGTTTCTAGTTCTCCTGCAGTTTTGATCAAATCAAACTGCATTCGATTAGCTCTGGCTCGTTTCGATCGATCCAGAACAGCATTTTGTTTCTTTGTCTTCTGTGTGGGGGTAATACCTGCTGTATGACCGGCGCCTGCACCCCCCCGGACTGCATGGGCTGCTGCTGCAGCACGATGGGCTGCTGTGGCTGCTGGATGATGTACTGAGCCCCGTTTGGACCCCGCACCACCTGCAGGATCTGACCTGTCAGGTAAGAAAACAAACAATAAGGGTGTGAATGCCACAAAACATTTCACAATAAAAGCCCAAACAACCTGGAGCTAAAAACAATGACCTCATGTCTCAGGACAGAGAGCGGACAAGTTTTTTTTTTTTTTTTTTACCTTGGTTGGTGAAGAGCTGCTGGTACGGAGTGACGCCTGTGGGTAAAGCGAGAGTTGCTGCGGTGGCTGCTGCACTCTAGAGGAGGAAGGTGGAACACACATTAAGACTCCTACTAAAACACTTCACAGGTGTGACATCCAGGTGACTTCAGCTGGCGTGACAAACGTAGCGTGTGCTCAGCTGTTGCATCTTCAGGTGCAAAAACAGAAAAGTGCAGCTGAAGCTGAATGTTGTGGTTGAAGGACTAACAGAAGGAACAACAAACAGGAGTGTTGAAAAAGACAGAGTGCTTCCTGTTCAATTTTAAAGGTAATGAAATGTTCATCAACGTTAGAGAACTTTGAAAAGTGTTTTTGTCCGAGACCAAAATGGACAAATTATTTTTTTTATTCTGGCTTTTTTTTTTTTACTAAACATATGCAGCAGATTATTTTAGAGTTCAGGGCTAAAATACAAATAAAGCACATAGGACAAGCCGTTTGAAAGAAAAACAACATGTTTAAGGAGTTTGGGAAGCTGCAACATGCGCGCCATGACGATAATCTACTCACCATCCCTGTAGCGCTCATGTGCTGCAGCATCTTAGGATCCTGAACAATGACTTGCTGCTGAGGAGCTGGAAGAAAACACGTTCAAGTCAGATTATCAAACTGTTCGCACAGAACTGCTCCATCTTCCTGGAATACACCGCAGCAACATCTGACAGTGTCCACTTCGATCCCTCAGGGACATTTGAAAGATTGTTTCAGACCCGTTCTTGTTAAACTCCGCCCCCTTTTAACCATCAGCATAATGCGTTTAGGATTGTTGTATTATTTTATGTAACTGAATGTATGCATCAGTGTGACAGTCAGTGTTGTAGTCCAGACCACCTAACCCAAGACCAAGTCAAGACCAAGACTGGTCTCGAGTACTACAACACTAGTTACGGTCTCTGTCGTAAATGAGACAGCCCGTCTAAATAAAAGTAAATAAAAACTAAATATATGAGTTTAATAGTACTACTGCAGTGATGTCATCAGGACTGTTTACTCTGCCGTGACAAGACGTCATTTGAGGAGTACTGAGTATAGCCTTGTAGATTCAGCGTGGTGATAGTAAACATAGCTGCATGTGTAGATGTTTTTTTAACAGTAGAAAGACTCGTTGAACATATTGCAATACACGACGTTCAAAAAGTTCAAGACTAAAACAACTGCACTTTATCTTGTAGCTGAAGACGTTTCGCTTCTCATCCGAGGAGCTTTCTCAAATCAAAGAACAGAGAGTGGGGTTCAAGTTATAAAGATGAGCTAAGCTAAATACATATGCAGATTGCCCTATCACTCCTCACAATACAGGCTCGTTAAGGTCTTTGTTAGTTTTACTGACGGAGGAGCCACTCTGGTCACACGGATAAAACTCCTGACAGGAGTGAAGCTGGCTGGGTATCGGTCCTAAAGCTGCATTATAAGTTTTTGAAAGTTGAAATCTGAGACCTCCTCCTGTTTAAAGATGGTCTCTCTTGATTTACATGGTCTCCTTCACCCCCCTCTCAAACCATTTGTCTTCTCAGTCCAAAATGTGGACATTTTGGTCCTGAAGAGTGTCTCATCGTTGAGGTGCAGGTGAACAGCGGTCTTGTCCTGAGGAGCTGGCTCTCCTGTGGTGAGCCATGCGTCTGTGAAGAGGCTCCTTGGTTTCTGTTAGAAAGCTCCTCAGATATGAAGCCAAGCGTCTTCTCTTACAAATAAAGTCCACTGGTTTTTCGTCTTGAACCTTTTTGAATTTACCATGTCCTGGATGACTGAGAATCTTCACCAGCACGACACAACTATTTTCTTGAATTTAAAGAAAAAGTTCTCCCTTGAACGTCCAACATGAGACATAAACATAGATCATGTGGTTCTTTATGTGAGCAGTAATATGCTGTGAAACCATCAAGGAGAAATGTTCATGTTAAAAACGTATAAAGAGCCATAATGGTGCACGGATTAAACCAACTGAACAGTTGAATGTGGTCCTTAGGTCAGCTGTGCTTGGACCCAGGTGGAACACAGAGGAGATGATAAAACTAGAAGTATTAATAAAACTAGAAGTATTAATAAAACTAGAAGTATTAATAAAACTAGAAGTATTAATAAAACTAGAAGTATTAATAAGGACTCCAGTCTCCAGTGTCCCTCTGCCTCTCGTTGCCTTGTCCGACACCATGTTGCCTTTTTGACGTGGCTCACCCTGCTGGCTTGAACTGGATTTTAATCCAGGCTCAACTATTAACCAAACGGGCCCCAGCATGTCTTAAGTGTGAGGTCCCAGCATCCTGCTCCGAGGGCTCGCCGAGGTTCAACCATGAGCCGTGCATGGAACTCACAGTCCTGATTAGAGTTGCATTCGGGCCCAACAAAATCTGATCCAGCCTGGCCCCAGCCCACAGTCATAATTTCCGAACCCGACCCGACGAATTAACAGTAATTACAGGTCCAAACCCAGACCCCCCCCCCCCGATATTTTTAATGAGTTATTAACGGTCGGGGACGCGCAGCTGAATAAACGGGGCAGAAGATTCAGAGCTGAGGTGTTTCGTCATTTCATGGCAATAAAAACATTTAAACTGTGTTTCTGCCTGCGTTCTTCTGAATTACTGAGACACACGGACAGCTCTGACACACGTCTGCTTTGGGATCTCACCTCAGAGTCAGCCGTGTGCGTCCGCTGAGTGCAGCGACTGAATGAACATCAACATTTGGGAGATGATCACTTCCTGGCAGTACAGTCCCATCTCAAGCTTAACTGAACTTTTTACCTCGTTCAAGGCCGGTCAGCTCACGGTGAAATGACCGCGTGTGGCTGGTGGAAGTATGGCAGGCCATGTTATCATATAATTAGATCGCAGCTGATCCTGACCTAATCAAAAGTCCGAGACCGGCCCGGACATTAATCACATAACGGGTCGTTCCAGGCCGGGTTTCGGGTTAGAAATGAAAACTCTAGTCCTGACCTGTTTTTCTAGCTCGAGGCAACTCTCTCTGCTCTTGTCTGCCAAACACACAGATCAGTAGGCCTGTCACGATAACTAATTTTGCTGGGCGATTAATCGTCTCATAAATTATTGCGATAAACGATAATATTGTTTGACATTTGACAATAATTAGCAATTGTCAAATTTAAAAAGAAATGTTGGTTAATTTGTGTGTGTAATACATTTTTTGACCACCTGTTAGCTTAGCTCGTAGCTTAGCTGTTTTTAACGATCCAAAAACGTGTTTTTGAATCGTTAAAATAGATTTTAAAGCAAAAAGAGAAAGGGAGGGGTCAGTGAAGAACACCGGAGTTGAGCCTGTCGTCATCCAGTGTCTTCAGTAGAAAGAGAGACATGAAGAAACTATAAAGCCGATAAATGAAAATGAGGTTGAGCATTTTAATTTATCATGCGATTAATTGATTTATCCCGACAGACCTACGGATCAGAACGCAGCACAGACGGACATGGAACATGGCGAGATTAAAAAACAGACACATCCCGAGTCCTAATCTGCTCATCTCTGAGTGGACGTTCTGACGGTTAATCCTGCAGCTCATCCGTGTGGACGCACCTTGCTGCTGGGGGGGCAGGATGACCTGCTGGGGCTGTGCTGCCTGCGTCGCCTGCTGCGCGGCCTGCAGGGCTGCCTGCTCGTCAGAATGGAAGCCCTCCACTGCCTTGGACTGCAGCAGCTTGTTTTCCCACAACTGTGCCATGGAAACAAAAGATGAATTAAAACGGGTGCGGACAGACGAGTCGAGAACTGGCACAGTTTCTTCTGCCCTTCTAGCCCCTTGGAAACAACTCCCCGGGACACGTTTACCGTTTTCAGCTCGTGAAGAACCTGCTCGTCCACCCCCTCATCCAGGAACAGCTCCCGCACCTCGTTGATGACATCCTCGATCACAGACCTGTACAGTTTAGGCTGCGGCGAGGACAAACACCTTCATCATTGCGTTCGATACCGAGGAACGACTTATAGCAGTTCGATCAAAACAACATTTAACAAGATTTACCAGCCTGAGCTCAAACATCCTGACTGTGGTATTTTAAAACGGTTTTCATCACGGATGCTGAACAAAATATATTTACCAGACTATTATGAATGAGATCAGTCAAGTGAGCATAAAACTCATATATGTTATGTATAATTATTTGTGGGCAGCTCCAGTGTGGTCCATACAAGCCCGGTCAGTGTATGATCAGGACCCAGCAGCAGCTGCGGACACTCGGCCTCCTCCTCGGTTCCTCCACTATTTAAAGCGCAGCGTGGTGTTTATATGTGAAGCCGGTGACGTAGCGTCGAGTAGCACCGTCCCATCCCGGCCGTCTATATTAGACAGCCAATATGGCGGTATAAAACCCGGGCAACGGAAAGGAGGAGGGCCAGAAGCGCGAGCGAGCCAGGAGACGGTGGAGGCCATTTTACTGAGCTGCGCGAGCTGCCGCCGCGCGCAGGGCCGTTGACTTTTCTAACGTGGAGGACATTTTTTGTGATGTTTTTGTTGCGTTTTTAGCTTCGACTAGACAGTTTTGGCTTTTTGACGTTGTGGGAACGGGACAGTATTTGATGCATCGTGGGTGAAACGTGGCTCGGGACGGCTCCGTGCTGCCTCGGGTCGTGGAATGGAGGACAATGATGCAGCACAGACTTCAGATGTGAAGAGAAAGCATTAGCCGCAGTGAATGTTAGCTACCGTGTGTTCTGAGTGCAGCTGTGTTTGAACGTCTCTCATTAATCTAATCATTTTCCAATAAGTATTTACAGCTTAAACAAGCTCATGAACTAAAAAAATATAAAACTTGCATATAGACCTAAATGTATTTATTATACACACACTGACGTTATTTTAAAGCCCTCTGTCAAAGAAAGACATCTCTCCACTGACAGTTTAATTTGAAATACCTACGAAAACTGAAAATGGCTGAGTGAAAGTATTTCTTTTGAATTGATTTAACGTGTCGAGTTGGTTAAAGCACACACTCCGGTCTCACAGCCGTAAATAAAACCGGCTCGTCCACATCTTTCCATCAACTTTACCCTCATTTCCCCCCACTGACAGTCCGTAGAGATTGATCCTTACCACTGGGTTCGAGTTAGCCGAGCTCGCCATTATACGCGTAGTGTAAAAACCACACGGCAATAGGCGAGAGACAAAGCCCAAAAAATTATTAAAAAATAGACTTAAAACAACTGGGAAAGGTAACTTAAAACAGCCAACATCACGTTTGTAAATAAAACACAGTTTTTACGGTCTTATTTACAATCCCGGGCTGCGACTCCCCAGCCGTCCTCCTCCCGTCGTTGTCCTGCTTTATATACTGAGCAAGGAGCTGTGAGTGCGCGAGGCATAGGGCAGGGTCAAACGGCGCATATCGCGAGAACTCCTGCGTATATTGATGAGTAATCCGTACAGGCGCTGCTGGGAAATGTAGTTTGGATGGTGATTCATGCTGACAGATTGTTCTTGCTAACTCTAAATAATAAATCTTGTCCTTGTACAGGGAATTAAACTGCCAGGAGCCATTTTTTTCCAAAAATTACTTGGGAATTTGAAAGTGGCATGTCCATTTTTAACTATATCATGCAAATAGATGTGTATAGTTTTTAATATAATGGTTAAAATAAACATCTTGATTAAAATAAAAAATCAAGTATTAAATTCAATTACATTTACTTGGCTATTATTTAGTGAGGGGAGGCAATTTTCTCAATTTAGATTAACTAAATTAGATTGCTAAATTCATGGTATAAACCAATGCAGATGTTCCTGTTTTTAGTATTTTACATCGCTGTTTTTTTTTTTTAATATAATTTACTTTTCATTTTATATGCTTTTTATATGATTGTCTACTGTTGTCTGTACCTCATCTGTGTTATTTGTTTAAATCAGGTCTCTTGCAAATAAATCCTCATGGCTCAATGAGACTAACCTGTATAAATAAAGGTTGAATAAATTAATAATAATAATAAACTAATGAAGTCACAGAGTTGTCATATTTGTTAGAAAAATTTTGATAATAAATAAAAAAAACAGTTCTGATTATAAAACTAGTATTTTTGAGAAAATATGAGGTGGTAAGGTAAAACTGAATGTGTTTGGATTATGAAGGCGTCATCAGTTTTGTGACCTTTAATATCAAATAACTTTTACTGTAGTAACACCATGCTGCCAGCAGAGGGCGTCCACACCACACTGTAGAAGGACAACCTCAATTTCCAATTCCAAAACACACAATCCAGTCACTACCACAGTATAGTAGCATCAAAGTATTTTACATTTTACTCAGTAAAAGTAAGTAAAGGTTTTAGTTAATTCCACGTACGTGTTAAGGATCTGAAACTTGCCCCAATAATCAGCGGAGAAGCAGAAAACCTTTGTGATTAATTCAAGCTGACAAAAGAACATAACCTCCACTTTGGTCTCCATGGAAACTTGCTTTGCTGGTCATTCTGTGGATATGGATGATACGGAGCAGGAGCCATTCAACCCTACACTGTGGCTTCTTTGAAACAAGCCCACTTGTGTTTTCTGGATTCATCCCACTGGGATTAAATTAAAATCTGCCCTTGATGATGAATCTTTTCAAATGCTCAAACAAGTGAAGTCAGATTATGTGTCTGAGACCAGATTAAACACAGAGCAGGGGCCACCTTTGTCTCTCTGTAATGAACTATAAAGTGATGCCCTCTAAAGATCTAGAGAACACACTTTTTTCTCTTCTTCCCCTTAAACCCCTCCGCCTCCTTCCTTTCTTTGCTATAGTTGCATAGCAACAGAGGAGCTGCTGGCTCCAGTTGTGTTGTGGTGGGAGCGTGCTGCACAGTGGCTCAAGATTAAGCCGGTCTCCGCTTCAATTATGAATGGGCTTCCACAGCCACACGGCTCCAAAATGGCACCACTCAGACTGATAAGACATCGAGGAACTCTTTGGTGCACTTAACTCCTTTCTTGCTTCGCTCCCCCAAGAGGAGCCGGACTTTAATCAGAAGTATTGAACTTAAATGATTAGAGGAAGTAAATGAATAATTAACTGGCAGAGGAGGCATGGTTATGATAAAACCCGTGTTGATGGGAATATGTGAGGTTAATGATTGGGGTCAAGCCTGAGAGCAAATTAAGGAGTTCTCCGGTCTCACACAGACGCTGTAACAGTAAACGGGGGGAGTCGGTGTGTGGAGCGTGCTGAAGTGGTGAGAAAGGGTGATATGCTTTCTCGTAATCCTTCACTGTATTTAACTTCGGAGAGGAAATTGGTTAAATTAGAGGAAATACATCCAGCGCTTCTGTCCCCTCACATGAACGACTCACATACACAGTGGATCTAAAGTCTGCACACTCCTGTTCACAGGCCGGGGTATTATGATACCAAAGAAGGGAAGCCACGATAAATCCTTTACATCCACCTTAAATCCTGCAGGGGGGCGGGCGCAGTAGCTCAGTGGTCAGTGCTGCGGTCTCATAATTTTGAGGCTTCGTGTTAGAGCCCAGGTTATATCCAGTCTGCAAACAATTTCCAACTCTTTCATACAAGTTCACTTGAAGGGAGCAGCCGAATACAAAACAACAGCTGCAGCGTATGTTCCATACAATTCAGTTCAGGCCACTCAAAAAGGCCTAAATCCTGCACGTTTTAGAGCAGGGGCTGCAACTTTTACCTAAAAAAAGAGCCATTTTTGCCACTTTGCTACTAATTACAATGTGTCCGGAGTCGCAAAACCTGCTACAGCTGTGAACTGTCAACTGGTGGCTCATGGAACTGTCAACTGGTGGCTCATGGACCAGTACAAGTTTGTTGGCGATGGCTTTTCAGGCCAGTGGGGGTGAAATTATAAAATGAAAAAATGCCCAACGATTATTAACATTTATTGATGTTTTTTACATTTTAATACAAAAGCAAAGACGAGATTCATGTAAAGAAAGAAAAATATATAATTTAATTTTTTTAAAATATAAATTAAAACACTGATGAGACTTCTCTGAATTGTTGAAGAATTAAGCATCGTACTTAAAGCATAAAGTTAAAGCATAAAATTAGGCCAGTTTGTTGGATATCCAATTACATCTTTAAAGAAAAATAAATACTTTTCTTTATTTGACTTTGTTTTTGCGTTTTATTCTTAGTGTTATCAAAGTTACTCATCATATTCCTTCTCAGCAGTTTGTCTTAAAGATATTCCAAAACATTCTGCTGGTGTTGAGAGAAACATCACGCTGCGAGACAGGAAGTCGACTTGAAGTGGCTAACAAACTACTAGCATGATGTAGTCCACATGTTTTACTCCTTGTATTTGTACTATCCAAAAAATGTTCAGTCAGGTCATCTGGATAGTTTCTTTTTTTTTGTGCTGAGACGTTTCGTCCGTCATTCAAAGGACTTCTTCAGTCTGAGGAACCACCAAACAAAATGATGACCTGACTGAACATTGTTGGATTTTATTCCTGGATTATTGAGCATGAACTTTGTTGTTTGGACTATTCTTCACTTGTTTGAAAATCACAGGAAATCTGATAAAACTAGCCATTTTCATTGTTGGGAATAATTTAAATAAAATTCATTTTTATGCCAGTTTTGGTCAAAGCCTGAAAGAGCTGCTGCAGGGGGACCAGAGCCACATGTGGCTCTGGGGCCACATGTGGCCCCAGAGCCACATGTGGCCCCAGAGCCACAGACCCCTGGTTTATTGGCTCCCCTGCTCCAACGCCTGATTCAGTTGTTAAACGACCTCTCGATGTGTGAGTCTGTTAATCACCCACTGACTCGAACAAGGTGTTGGAGCAGAGAACCATGGATGTTGGCCCTCCAGGACCAGGATTAGACACCTCAGATGTAAAAAGACTGAAGGCTGTAATAAAATCAGAAGGTGCTCCAACAAAGTTAAAGCTTCAGGGTGAACACCCATGAAAGTGACTTTTTGCATAAATTCATTTAATTATATTTTTCCCTGCAACTGTTTTTTGTTTGTTTGTTTTTAAACGGTTGACTTGTACAAAATGTATGAAACAGATCTTGGTTTATTTTGTTCACCATGGGTGTGTACACTTCATGTATCCACTGTGCATCAGTCCAGCTTATTTAAGTTTTAATGCAATAAACAAAACGGCAGCAACGCTTCTCCTCTGCAACTTGTATTTTTTTTATTATTGCAACCAACTGGAAGACAATACATCACATAAACATCATTGTAGTTTCTCAGAAAATGGAAAACAAAATAAAAACAACATTTATATATATTTTTTTTTTGCCACGGTATTGGACAACGTTGATATTTACATGTAGTGATGAAATAGGTCTTGAAATCATTCTTTGGCAACATGATTGCACAATAAGGAGAGGAAACCAAAAACAACACCTGGGTGAAACTCCGCGTCTCAGATCACGGATCCATAACAGCTTTGCATCTTGACATCTCTAACCTATGGCTTCCTGAAACTCAGCTCAGACTGTAACTAAACAGATGGTGGAACTGTTGGGAAATTTCGTCAGAAAGAAGCAAAAGAGAAATAAAAATACGCTTCAAAAGTTTGGCAAAAAAAAAAAGAAAGTGGCAATGATTTCTTTTGATAGCATTTAGTTTGGCAGGGTTTAAAGGAAACACTTGTGTTCATGGGTTTTCAGGCAGTGACATGTATTTGTATTTGTCAGCAGCTGCATTGGATCTGAAACCTTTGCAGGACTCACAGGCCAGGAGTTTATCTTCACCGCATGTCACACAGAGAGTCACGGAAAGAAGAACATGAAAAAAGATGGTTGCTAAAGCAACACGCTCTCCCCTCGACATGCCAGCTGAACACGTAACTTATCACGGCAACAGTGGCCCGTTACATCAAATACAGCAGGGTGCTCGACCCGGGGGCCGCGGGGGCGGATATGAGACGGATGGCACACGACGACAACACTGACGACTCCTCCGTTTCGTACGTCGGCAGGCATGGACGCAGAGCAGAATGCAAAGCCACTGGTGCATGCTACAGGTGGCAGAGGGACATGCGCTTGTTTTCCTGGTTGGCCTGCTGATCATCACTTGGCACCGTTTTTCTTTTTTTGCTTGAACTAAACATCACCGACCCCGCTGCCACAAACACAACAGGTGCTTCCGGACCCAACAGTTCTCAGGACTCTCCGAGGGCTAGACAGACTCACTATAGGCGGTTATAAAGTGCTACGATGAAGTATATTTTTGATCAGAATCATA